AGGAGTCTCTGGATGGTTTGCAACTTCGTGTTTCTGCTTTTTTTTTTTTTTAAAGTTTAATCTGGTCAGCCCGGTTTCGATGGCATGGAAAACTAGCTTTGCCCGATGTGAAACAGGCTTCTCGGCTACTCGGCGTGCGTGCGCAGTGATCTTTTAATTTTATAACGCACGGTGCCTAGACCACTCAGAAACACAGAAACACTATAAATTGAGACACATCGTACAGGGGCGCTCCTGAAACCGAATTTCCAATCCATTCAAGTAAATTGATATACAAATCTTATCACATTATCACTATTTGTAAGCAAACATTTAAGTGGGCTCTTTGTTAGTATCAATGCATAAAAATAGAACAATTCGTCCATGCTTTCACGAAGTGACGGTAGTGAGGAAAATCGTAACGCAAAGTGAATGCAATTTGTTTTCACCACCGCCACCTCGTGAAAACAGCGACGAATTGAAAAATTAACGTCTTTATTTAATATTATATAAGGCCTATATAGGCCTATATATTACATACCTACATACATTATATTTCTTTATTTATTCCTCCTTTTATTCTCTTTATGAGAATCTCCTAAAGAAGCGATAGGGGAAAGAAGTACTTTTGGCTTATTTTACTTTACTTGTAGGTAAACTTATTAGGTCTCTTGTTTTATTTGAAGCGACCTGTTCTATGGATATATAGTAGGATGGCATATTGAGCCTTCTGTGAAAACTTGAAAAGTATTCTTTTTGTTTCTTCTATTGTTTTGGTGTCTAAATCTGAGAAAAGCATTGCTCGTTCAATGATATACTTATTACAATAAAATATAAAATGTTCTTCTGTTTCACTGATGTTACAATAATCACAATATTCTGTTTCACTTAAACCCACTTTAGCCTTTTGTTGGTTCAGTTGAAGAACACCCATTCTCAATCTATGTAATATTACTTCACTGTATCTGTTTACCTTGATTGATATACATGAATGATTCTCAAATCGTTTTAAAGGTGATTCTATCGTTTTCCATCTTTCTTCCCCAATTTCTCGTACTCTTTTACTCAGTATTGATTTCAGTTCTTGTACATTAAGATCATTGTTAATTTCTATGTTTTTCTTTAATGCTCTCTTAGCAAAACTATCTACTACTTCATTCCCTACTAGTCCACAGTGAGATGGGATCCATTCTAGCGTTATGTTTATACCTCTATAATGAAGATGTGTTATTTTTATCAGTATTTCTATTACGAAATTTTCTTTTATCTGCGATTCTATTGCATTTATTGTACTCAGAGAGTCTGAAAGAATAACTATACCAACATAAATATTCAAGTTTTCAATCCAATCTAATGCCATAATAATGGCTACTTGTTCTGCCCTGTATGACGATGTGTCATTGTGTAATCGTTTCTGTTCATGAATTTTCATCGCTGGTACGTAGAAGCCTGCTGCTGCGTTGCCTCTTTTAGGATCTTTAGATCCGTCTGTGTATATATGTAGGTGTGTTTTATATCTAGTGTTTATTACTTCTAAAGATTTGGCTTTTTGATAGTGTGGGTTGTCATTCTTGCTGATTAAAGTATGTAATTCAGTGGAGATGGTGGGTGGAATGTAATGCCATGGTGGAAATGGTATTGGTCTGTTTTCTTCAACTTCATCCGATTCTTGAACTATTTTCTCGTTTAGAATTCTAAAACCAAAGGGCTTTTTTCCTTTCTTTTTTTCTCTGATTGAATGACTTTCACCGAACTCTGCTGGGTCGGAATATTCGCCAAACAAAGTAAAACATAAGAAATTCAGATCACTTGTCAAGAGGCCCTCCGCGCAAGCGCCTCGGTTTCTCTGACTCGCTTCGCTCGTCAGAATTTAGAGACTCCAACAGCGCGAGGGCATCGACAAGAGGCTACCATGAGAGCTGACTTCTATGTGACTTTAAAAAAAAAGTACTTCACTAGCTTTCTTCAAACAAAAAAAAAACACCTGGAAACTTACCTGTACAACTCCTCTTAAATTGTTGATAGTCTAAGAGACAGCGCCTTGTATCCTTGGAAAAGGCGCTATATAACTCCAATTATTGTTATTATTATCATTATTGTTATTCAAGGTAAAGACCAGTTTTAGAAACGCCCTCCTCAATGCAATGCAATGGAAGCTCTCATTACCAAACATGTGAAAGAATATGTTTTGACTAATACTTGATGATACAAATTTTGCCAGGAAACCGCCTACTAATTGATGTATTTAGTCAATTATGGGAGTCCCATAAACATCTTTCTGTGTACAATGCTTGTAATTTTACCAAGACTGGGCCAAATTCCAGAACCTTGCAGTATACGTTAATACTTATATGCTAGATGATCAACCTTTTCTGATCGATTCCACGACGTTTCTTTCACAGTGCAATCGCATGACCAGAACTGGTCTATACCTCTAATACTAATTCTCGACTTTGAAAAGCATTCCGCGGTAGAGTGTGTTGTGGTACTATATGAACAACATCAATGTGCGTAATGAGGCCGCGATTGGCGGAAGGATACATGAATAAAGCACTTTCAAGATGGCCACTTATACATGAACCTTGTCTACAGTGATCTCTTATTTATCCGTTCATCTGATCTTTCAACATGGTGGCAGCGGTCAAAAGAATTGCCATATCTATTACTATCGAACTGCAGATCACATAGGGCAAGCAATAATCTTGAATGACTTATGAAAGATTGATAAGGGACGGTTTTTGAACTGCCGACAATCACACTGCACAGCCAGCAGAGTAAACTCACAGCCGCGTCTCCAATATGACTTTGTGTCGGCGTAAGGTTGCGCACTATATTACGCGGGAAACACTACGAGTAGACTAGTGTATTGACTGTCAGACTAAAGCCCTATACATTCAGGACCAGAACTGATGCGGAGGCAGAACCAGAGCCTAGAGGCTCGCCAGGAGCAGAGCCTAGAGGCTCGTCAGGAGAAGAGCCTAGAGGCTCGACAAGACCAGAGCCTAGAGGCTCGACCGGGACCGGGAACAGTACAGCTCTAACTAAGGCCGCTACCTCGGACTTCCAGCCCTGCACTGCATTATGGTTTTGGAACTAGCCGCCACTCGGACCCAGAGCGTCGTGTTGCGGACCGTGCAAGTAGATCCAGGACTGATTGCTGGACTTCGCCGGATCTGATTGTGGAATGAAAACTAGATTACTGATTAGACTCTCAATCAAATGGACTATAATCTAAGCAGACATATAATGTTTGGACTCGGTTTGAAACAATTAAACCATAATTAATGTGCTTTGTTTGTCGTATAAAACTGGACTAGAGTCTAGTCTAGTCTAGGGGTCTAGATCAAGACCTAGCCTAGATAGATAGTCTAGACACTTTTTTCTAGTCTAGACTCCACTTATGGATCTAGACTAGACCGAGTATGAGAATGAGTATTAGGGTGTCTGATCGCGCACCCGATGTTGTGTGCTAAAATTCTTCCCATAGAGATTACACGCATCCCTATGCAGCCTACGTGCATTGCGCGACCATGCAAAAAAAGTCAATTTTTTTTTTTCAAATCGAGATTCAAACCTTTATCAGTTGTGATCCTGAAGGTGATAATCAATGAATGAGGTGTCATATGAAAGAGCAGGTGAATTCCAATATTTCCAAAGGGGCGTAGCCCCCGAAATTCTAAAAATATCTTGGTCAAAACAGCAATTTAAACATTGTGTCCTGGCTAACTCTGAGGTTTGTCACTTTTGAGATATGACGCCCCGATCGATAAGTAGTCCCAGTCCTAAGGAACAATTCTATGTGATTATATTTTCGCTAGCCCCCAGGGATCACAACTGATAACAGTTTAAAAATACCCTTCTCGCTATTTGGTGGATCAGCTAATTAGGAGGCGTGCGCTCCGCTCAGTCCAAACCATGGTTACATCGCGTAACATCTCCGCGCACGAACGAAACCCCAAATTATAGTGACTGAAATTATGGTTGGCAATTCCCTCGATAAACCCGGAAGTGAATACACGTTATAGTCAATGGCAATATCGCGGAGACACGTGCGTTGTCTCCGCGATATTGCCATTGACTATAACGTGCATTCACTTCCGGGTTTATTGTGCGACGAACGCCAACCATACTAGTCAATCGCACATGTCTCGGAGACAGCGTAGCTCAAGCTGCAAGTCGCGGATTGGCTTAGCAGCATGCGTACGATATGCATACGCTTGCATATCGCGCGATACAGCTGTTTGGCTAAATTTAGCAAAACAACATCACTCTGCGTGGACGTCTTTTTCGTCGATTTTGACCAAAATGATATGAATATACCAGCGTGTTGGAGGGGCTGTAACTTTTGATAGAAACATCGGTGAGACTTGAAATTTGAAATGTATTATTCTGATAACATTTTTTATTCAAATATCAAACAAAAATGGTGAAAAACGATCCCAAATTGAAAATTGAAAAATCGTTCAGACACCCTATGAGTATGACTAGGTGTAATTTGATCAAAATCTACTTTCACCTTGTTCTATATTACTGGACCTGGTCTAGATCTGGACTAGGCCTAGTCTAGATTTCTAGATGTGTTTACTTTAGACCTTAACAAGTCCAATTTCTACATGTGGACCTGTCCTAATTAAGTGAATGATACACACATATCTCTTACATGTATGTAGAAGTGCTGATGTACTATTACTAACTTAAATCTAGATCTAGTGGTGGTAGACTCTACTGCCACTGGTACTATACTCTATAGACCAAACAGTGGTCCGTGGTATCCCCTTAAAGCGGGTCCAGGACCAGTTGTCTTTGCTAGACCAATTACACAAGGGGGTCTAATTGTCTATGGATCTAGACTTGATATATTTTGATACATTTGAACCTACATTTTGAAGTTGTACATATAGATCTAGTCTATAGTGTAAATGCTAATTGCTATGTAGGCCTACATGTCGATTTAAGTCACAATTCATGTATTACATGTAATTACCTGTGTAGTCCAAGACCCCATTGTAGAAACCAGGACCATGGCTCGCTATCCAGAGATGAAGTGGGACCCTCAGTGTGGTCTCGCTGAAGAATTCACGTTATTTCAACAGCGAATGGAACTTTGCCTTCTCGATAATGAGATAACTGATACTACAAAACAGGCAACAAAAATAAAGATAGCTCTTGGGAACGAAGGGTTACGCAGGATAAACGCCTCTAGCCTCAGTGTAGAGGATCAGAAGGACCCAGGCAAGCTATGGGCCCTAATCGAAGGCCAACTGAATGTCAAAGTGAACTTCAGGATTCATCGGCTCGAATTAATGCGATACAAGCAGATGTCTGGAGAAACGATCGACGAGTTCGTCAATAGATGTCGGAGTAAGGCAAAGGAATGCAAATTCACCGAGGGGGAATTGAGTGAAAGACTCATAGAGCTGGTGATTTCGTCTACACAACTCGAGTCATTTCAGAAAGACCTACTCGACAAAGAAAAGGGGTTCTCAATTGATAAGCTTCTTGAAGAAGGCCGCAAATATGAGGCCATTCAAGTCGGTAAACAGTGCCTGCAGACGCTCCACACCATTGGAAGTGGGAACATTGATGCTGTTAGTCACGACAGTAGGCAGAAATGCAGGAACTGTGGTCTTTCACACCTTCCAAAGAGGTGTCCAGCCTTCGCGGACCTGTGCAATTCGTGTGGCGTCAAAGGACACTGGGCGAAGATGTGTCGAAAGACGAAAGAACAGGTCAAACCGAAGATCCCTCCTAGACGTCCACCATCACAAGACAGGTGGAGCTCACAGCAGAGACAGCCCAGAAACAGGCAGTATAGGCCTACATCCTTTCATAGCAGGAACCAGCGTAAGGTTGACGAAATTGGACCGGACGACACAAACCAACCGGACAGTGGGGAACGTGAATTCCACATGATACATATATCGCTAAACTCTATTGACTCGGAGGAGACCGAAGCATATGCGAGTATCAACATCATATGTCCAGACCTGAGGGGTCATCATCGCCTCAATGCAAAGGTTGACACAGGAGCCAGCGGTAATGTTCTGCCACTGCGGACGCTGAAGGACATGTACAGGGCTCGATGGAAAGATGTTATCCGTCCCACTACTACGCGACTATCTGCCTACGGAGAAACGCCTTTACGCTGCTTAGGCACCTTGATGATGTCGATGATGTATGAAGGGTCGCCTTGGGTCGTAGACCAAACATGGTATGTTGCGGACGTAAAGGGACCAGTCATTGTCGGACTTCCTACTTCCAGAAAGCTAGGGATTGTTACGATTCACACAGTTGAACAACAGATGGGCCTGGACAGTCCAAATGATCTTCCTCCCATCAGGTCAGCTAAAGACCTACAGGCGGCTTACCCAGACCAGTTTGACCAGATTGGGAACTTCAGTGGCAAGGCAACGTTGCACTTGAAGAAGGATGCAACTCCATCAATTGATGCGCCTCGAAAATGCAGCATCCACCTGAGGGACAAGCTCAAGAAAGAGCTGGATCAGATGGAAAGTAACGGCATCATTAGGAAAGTTACTCATCACACAGATTGGTGCAGTTCCCTCACCACAGCCCTGAAGAAGGATGGGTCATTGCGAGTCTGCCTTGACCCCAAAAGGCTCAATCAAAACCTGAAAAGATGCCCTCACAAGATTCCAACTCTAGAGGAGCTCAATCCTGCATTCTCACAGGCCAAGTACTTCTCGAAATTGGACGCAAAGGCAGGATATTGGTCAGTCCACCTGGACGAAGAATCGCAGGAGCTTACTACATTCAGATCACCATTTGGAAGGTATTGCTTTCGCAGACTTCCATTTGGACTTTCGGTGAGTCAAGACATCTTTCAACAAAGGATGGACACAATCCTTGCACAGGCGCCAGGCTGTGAAGGTATAGCTGACGACATAGCTGTATTTGGCAAGACTGAACAGGAGCATGATGATAATCTCTGGAGACTGATGGGAGTTGCACAAAAAGAAGGTCTGGTGTTCAACAGTACAAAGTGTGTGATCAAGGCGAGAAGCATCAATTTCTTTGGTTCACTGTACACAGACAAAGGCATACAACCAGATCCTAGCAAGTTGGAGGATGTCAGAGAAATGCCTACACCACAGAACAAGGACGATCTCCAGCGAGTGTTAGGGATGATGACCTATTTATCACCATACATCTCAAACTATGCTGAAAAGTCAGCAATACTGCGTGATCTTCTGAGGAAAGATGTTCCCTTTACCTGGCAGGAGGACCATGAGGAATGCTTTCAACGATTGAAATCAGACATTTCAGAAGGAAAGTGTCTACGGTACTATAACCCCAGTGTCCCAACAGTACTAGAGGTAGATGCATCGCTCAAAGGACTTGGAGCCTGCCTCCTTCAGAATGAAAGACCAGTCGCATTCGCCTCAAAGAGTTTGTCAGATGCACAATCAAACTACTCAAACATCGAGCGAGAGACATTGGCACTTGTTTTTGGGATCACACGTTTCCATTCATATCTGTTTGGTAACCAGTTCACAGTCTACACTGACCACAAACCACTCGAAACGATCTGTAGAAAGCCCCTGGGGAGTGCGCCTCCAAGATTACAGAGGCTTCTCGTCAAAATACAGGGCTATGATTGTGATATCCTATACAAGCCCGGAAGTCAGATGACATTACCAGACACACTCAGTAGGTTGCCAAACCCCAGAAAGAGAGGAGACGTCATCGTTGAGCTCCATGTAGATGAAGTCATGGAATTAGAAGAGAATCATGACAATGATCTGGCAAGCTTCACACCTATGAAGCAGACACAGCTGCAGAGAGAGACAGCAAGCGATCCGAACTTGAAGCAGCTGAGTAGAATTATTCACGATGGATGGCCAGACGTGATTAAGCAGGTTCCAAGCAGCTCAAGGATTCACTGGTCATACCGAGAGGAACTGGGTGTCGCCAACGGCATTATCTTCAAAGGAAGACAGGTGTTGATACCTTCAACACTGCAATCAGACATCCTGGAGCAGCTACACACGAGTCATATGGGTATAGAGAGAACTCGTAGACTAGCAAGGGACACGGTATACTGGCCAGGCATCAATAAGGATATTGAAAACCTTGTCAAGACTTGCCCTGCTTGCCAGGAGAACCAAGATCGGCAACAAAGGGAACCACTACAACCGCACGAAGTTCCAATGACGCCATGGACAAAGGTAGCCACAGACCTGTTTTTTCTTGATGGAACTGAATACTTACTCATTACTGACTATCATTCCAAGTTCCCTGTGATCAGGAAAATGCACAGCACCACAAGTGCTTCAGTTGCTACCGTAATGAAAGAAACCTTCAGCCTCCTGGGAGTGCCCTCCGAAGTTATATCTGATAACGGACCCCAGTTCATTGGAAAAGCTTTCAAAGACATGTGTGAGTCATGGAACATCAAGCACACCACCTCATCGCCGAGATATCCGCGCTCCAATGGCCTAGCTGAGCGGATGGTACGCACCATAAAGTCGATGATTAAGAAGTGCAAACAGACAGGACAAGATGTCCAAAAGGCACTTCTCCACCTTCGAGCAACGCCTCAATCAGACCTGCCATCTCCTGCCGAAATGATGTTTGGGAGGCAAATGAAGACAACCCTTCCAGGTCGCCATGATCATGACAGACAGATGAGCGATGTCCACGACCAGCTCCAGCGAAGGCGGGATGTGATGAAGACCGACCATGACAGACATGCCGGTCGGGTACTGTCCCTCCTGAAGGTCGGCCAGAAAGTCAGAACTTTGCATCCAGACGACAATACATGGCTGCCGGCTGAGGTTTCAAGAGTTTGCCCAGAACCAAGATCATATGAAGTGACAACACCAAATGGCAGGGTGTTAAGGAGAAACAGGTCCCATCTGCGAGAGATGCCGATACAAATAGAGACGGCAACAGCACCCACACCAGGGACAGAGCATCTTCCAAGAGAGGATGGTGACAACTGCACAACACCCGCAGGAACACAGGATTTCGATGGTTCAATCCCTCGTTCTGATTCTTTTGCCTATGTCACAAGATATGGTCGCAAGGTTAATCCCCCATCTCGTTATCAAGAATAAAAACTTCATCGATTAATAGATTGATAAACAACAACTATACTTTATTTGTTTAATGATTTAGCATACCCGGTAGAATTACATTGATGATAGTAAAACCTCATATTTGACATCAGGTGATTCAATTTCTTAATCAGTATACATGTATATAACCAAAATGTTTTATATAACTGCCACGCTTAATATTGGCTATCTTTCAACAGAAAATCTCTTCTGTATACAGAACCGAATTTAACAATTGTATGTCGTGCTCGTGCATGATATTTCTTCTCTCCACACAAATGACCAGGTATTATAGTTTTGTTACGCTGATTTGTCGTATTGCTAAGTCCTAATTGAAATGGGATGAAAAACGTTTTTTCACAGGAAAATGTTGTTTATAACTGTTTGCCAGAAAGCAATATGGAATCACTTTAGTTTATTCCAGCAAAAGTTATGTAAATTATAAAAAGTTGAATTACATTATACAAGTATGTCGATTCAGCGACAAAAATATGCCTGTTATAGTGGAGGACACTATTTTACCATTCTAAAATTTGTTTTCTTGTTGAAAGGTACTTGTAAGTTTTAGTTGAACAGTTTTTAGTACTGTGCTTCTCAAAAAAAAGAAAAAAAGAATATGTTTGGAATGTTTCCTCTTGTTGAAATTTCTAAATTGTGTTACTGTTTTAGTGGATAATTTCCGTCATGTACAGTGCCTATTGAGCAGGGAAGATATAACTGGTTAATGAGAGCACTATCAACTTGTCATTGAAAGAAGGGGGATGTTGTGGTACTATATGAACAACATCAATGTGCGTAATGAGGCCGCGATTGGCGGAAGGATACATGAATAAAGCACTTTCAAGATGGCCACTTATACATGAACCTTGTCTACAGTGATCTCTTATTTATCCGTTCATCTGATCTTTCAACAGAGTGGTGGTGATGAAAGGTGAGCCCCTGGAATCCCCCCCTTCCCCCCCCCCCCCCCACAAAAAAAAAAAAAAAAAAAATCCCAAACTGCTTCCGGCGCGCCTGGTCACATATTTTATAAATCTTTAATTAGAAACTACCAAAGTAGGTTGCGCTTTTTATACGCACTGTATACTCTGACTACGGTCATCATTTTCATGCGCGTTGTGGCCACGGACGTCGCTAAAGGAGGGGTGGTATATTAAAATTGGGTTGCTGTCGGGAAAAATGAGCAAAGCGGGAAAGAAAAATGAGAGGGAAAGGGAAAGAAAAGAAGAATAAAAGAAAAGGAAAAGAAAGGAAAGAAAGGAAAGAAAGGAAAGAGAAGAGAAGAAAGAAAGAAAAAAGAAAAAGAGAAAGGAGAAGAAAGAAAAGAAAGAAATAAAGGAAAACAAAAAGAAAAGAGAAGAAGACAAAAGAAAAAAGGGGGATGAAAGAGAGGAGAGAGAGAGAGGGGGGTAAGATCCTGAGATAAAGATGAAGGATGGGACTAAGAGAGAGAGAGAGGGGATGTTGGGTGGAGTCGCCACGTCGAGGGAGCAAGAAAGATACGCATAGATAATGTTGCTGTGTCGGTATTCTTGCTCGATCCTCGTGTACTATATCAATGCAGAAGTTTGAAGTCGGTGAGATGTATTATGTCGGTCGGCCGGCAAATTTTTTTCCCCTACAAACTGTGACTTTTTATCGGACAATGAAACATTATTGAAAATTCAGACAATGATTAAGAGTTGATACAATGAATCGTCTCTTTCTCTAATAATTTAACGAAACGTCAAAGCTTTCTCGCTTCGCACGGGAGGGGAGGAAACTGAATTCAAACTAGAATTAAGAGTCGAGAACGGTACAACGAATCGTCTTATTTCTCTAATAATTTAATGAAATATCAAAACTTCCGCGCTTTGCGCGGAAAGGGGGAATCGGAAAAATAATTTAGTTCCTGGCCCTGAGTTTATAGGGTTAATTTTATAGACATTGACACATTGGCATTAATATATTTGTCGGTTATTGGTGGCTATTTTTTTTCTCGGTAATCTATGGTCTCTAGTACCCCCCCCCCCCCCCCTTCTGAAAAAGGTCTAGCGACGACCCCGGTTGTGGGTGATGATAATTGTCATTTTCTCACACCAAGATAGTCGATTCATTTTTCAGCTCCTGGATTGAAGCTTTACCATTCGGCGGCAGTTATGTTGCCCATTTCAGCCGTTTCCCCTCGCAGTAATGTAATTGTTGCGCAATTGTCGGTATCAAATCTCATCTTGATGTTCTCGGTGGGTTGTTTTACAACTCTTATTAATGTATGAATCTTGTCGTCATTATGTGCATAGAGTTTGATATCATTCGTATATACCGAATGGTTAACTGTTGCTGAAACATCATTTCGTACAGACCAATTACGTGTACCTTGAATGATGGAGCATACCGGATTGTGAGCCGTGCAGCTGACGGAAGAGCTGAGGAGACAACGAATCTCCTTGAAATAGCGCATCTCTTGAATCTTACTTCTGGTATCGAACATGAACCTAGCTGCCGTTATGGTCGGAATGGTCTTTCATATTATTGTTATCATTATTAGTATTACCATTATCATTATTAACTTTATTATATAGAGATATCGACTGCTACGAGAGGACTGGCTGTTTTTATACGCTCAAGGGAAATTTACCTCCGCTGCTATACCACCCCGAGGCGCGCCTGGGTTCCCGAGAGCCAGTATAGGAAGAGCCATATATGCAGTCCTAGAGTATTAAAGCAGTCGATATCCCTTTTATATGCCGAATTCAATCAAAAATCAACCAAGAATTCTTACCTTATCTTTTTATCGAGTAAAGATTGGTTAAAACATCACGGAAAATCTGATAAACTGTCTGTTCATCACCGCCCGAAAAATTACTGAAATTTTCGATCAGTAGGGAATCGCAGACAAAAAACACTCTGTATGATTTCCGCGCTCGCTCAAAGAACATTTTAACACGTAAACGGCCAACGGGTATCGCAGCAAGATTTTATTATTTTCCCGGTAACTGGAAATTTGCCGGGATTTTACTCTTGGACTATTAAATGGTTTTGGCATTTTTCGTTTCTTTACGGGAATGGCTAAAATCACGACTGCAATTTCGACCAATCAGATGGCTTGATTTCTTAAGTGAGGTATATAATCATTATATTATCAACTATTATCATCATTACCATTATTATTATTATAACTATCCTCATTTATATTATCATTATTCTTTGATTAAACTCACTTCTCCCATCCATTCGCAGACTGGGTCCGCAAGCTATTTCTCCACACTTTTTATATATTCAGCCGACTTCGTCTCTGTGATCAACATCCTTCTCGCCGCCGTACATCAATTCATTACCATCCGGGTGGACCCGTTTGGTGCCCATGGCATCATTACCACACCCCGTATCATCGCTGCCTGCGTCACCACATGGCTGCTTTGCATACCAATAGCATACCCCATCTGGATCATGAAAGACCTATTCGCTTTCTACATCTCCGCAGTCTCCACCGACGTCGTGCTCCTACTCATCACTGGCCTCTTCTATCTCTTTGTCTATACTACCGTCTCCAAAGGCCCACCTGGTGTCAAGTTTTCAGAACAGAGGAAACTCGAAAACAGAAAAGTATTCGCCACAATAGCATTTGTATACGTCACGACATTATTTTTCCGATCGATTTATAGGGTGGAATATGTCATTGCGTTGTTGAATACCTCGATATTACACCTTTTTATTGGTAATATCTTCTTCAGCATAGGAACTATGTCAAACTCGCTGGTATATTGGTGGCGACTTAAAGAATTTAGATCTATGTTAACGAAGTGCAGAAATAACAGAACTGATGTAATGATTGACGGTTTAAATGTTTGAAGAAAAAAAATTATGAATCCATACATTTGCAGGTCATTTCTCTTGAAATAGAAATAGTTTTATAATAGTGGTTTGGATAATCATTATAATAGTTGATACAATTAAATAGTAGATACTTCGCGGGTTCGACCAATATTGATCAGAGGTTAGAGGATAATGTGAAAATGGTTCAATAATTGAATATGTTAGATAAAATAATTGTTTACTAATGCCAGGTTAATAATATCCAAAGTCATTTGGAAGCGCATAGCGAATTTAAAGGGAGTGTGTCATGAGGAGTCTATGTGTCTTTCCCGTGTCCCTACGTGGGCCGCGTTATTTTTTCGGCGGCACAGATTGGGGTTATAGGTGCGTGTTGAGCCTATAGGAAAGTTAAGGGTTAGGGTTAGGGTTAAATCAAGACCCCCTTTTTTTAAATTTTTATAAAAAAGCCCCAATCTGTGCCGCGTCCGGGCCCAAGCGGGTATACGGACGACGCGACCGCAGCTTTCACGTGCTGGCAAAATACGCGAAACCGAAGCGTGAGGAGCACTTTGGTCTGTTTCGCGAACGCTAGCGCGCTCTGACCCAGTTAATCAAGACCATTCGGTTATGTGCAGTTGTCCAAAAGAAGACGTAAATGGCGTTAACCAGTATTTCCCATGATACACTCCCTTTAATACAATAATTAAGGACTGATTATTATATTACTACTAGGCTAGTATGATTTGTGTCGTATATTACAATTATCAATATTATTATTATCATTATCAGCATCAAGTATTGTTATCATTTTCATTAGTAGTAGTTCCAAGGGCGGTTATATTATTATGCAGAATATAGTACATAATGAATATGAATACGAATATAGAATATTGTGGTACATCTATCATCATGCATGATAATTTTTATACCAACCAATAAACGAATAATGTGTTGCGCAAAAAGGCCTTCAACCGTGAATTAATGTATTCTTTATTATTTCAATAATTGACCACATTAAAAGGAAGATGGCCCAAGTTCATCATGAAAATCTAAAACTCATGAGGAAAAAGAACTTTTACATTGCACATGTGTGTATTATACCGTGTGAGTCAAAAAAAAGTTTACACCTAGAAAATTGCTCATTATTTTAAAAATCGTCTATGAACAGTAAATTATTATACATGTTGTGTTTTATCCCAAATTATTTACTATCATTTTTGTGTGGTATGTGTTCACGCGTTCCTTTTTTCAAACTTAAAGAATGATTTCTTATAATGTAAAATCAGCTATAAATACATTTGAATTTTTAATGTTATTTAAGAGTGTACTTTCAATTGCTATACTAGATTGCATGCATTAATTTTTCATATTATCCAGTAATTTACTATCCTGTAATATATTTTGTTGTAAACATGTATATAACAATTGAACTCTCACAAGTATATGTTGCCTTTTTTCAAGGTCTAATACTTAACGAAATATGCTAATAGTTACTTTTCATCGGATTTAAAAACTAACTACTGTCTATGCTATAATGTTTCATTAAAATATTATAATTATTCAACAACGTTTTCTTGAACAAAAAGCAAAGCAAAACAAAACAAACAAACCATTTTTTTACGAGGATACCAAAGACTTTGTGTATATGTTTGTACACGTTCTTACTTATTGTTTATTGCTGTTATGAATTTATATTCAAGATTTTGTTATTATATATCATATATATTTGTTAAACTATAATGTACCTAATTATGTTTAACAGGGCCTCATGGAAGACCACCATTATTGGTGATAATGAGTCAACCTGTCTAAATATCAGAAATAAATAAATAACAGAAAATAAAACAACCTTAAGTTATATCATGGAGTTATTAGCCTACATCCTCATACCAACTCCATGCTCATACATGCATTTAAATACACTAATGGATTTAACATTTTTTTTAGAGAGTTAACACACTATTTCTGGTTTGTTTCCGGTCGGCCTGTCTTCAAACTATCGAGTGTAGACTAACATTCAGCGTACTTATTGGCAATTCCTGTATTAAAACAATGTCGATCTTATCATTGAGCCATCATCGAGGTGTTCTTGTTTTTGTTTTGTTGTATATTTGCAAAATACTAGGCTATTATATGCACAAATTGTGATGATACTTGTAATAGAAAATCCAAATATTTCAAACAAGGTGAACATTTAGTGTTGATCGTGATTCAAGTATTTTTGACAAAAGTGGTGTAACCTGGTTCCACTCAGTGAGTTGGCACTGTTATTTATAATGAGGTGAATGAAATACCAAAGAGCAAGGTCGTCATATGGGGTGATAGTATTCAAGGGTTTGCGGACATCTTTTTTCGCTGCCTTGCCATTCACCCTTTCAATGTCCAGGGGGTAATTGTCCTGATACGTATATTAATATTCCGTTTTTGTGCAAACTCCTTGACAATTAGGAACGAGTTAGTGCGTTTCTAAGATTCGGGCAATATTTTTTTTAATTGGCAATAATGCATTACAAGATGAACCGATGGACACGATGGGCCGCGTCTTGTCTGTTGTGAACAAAATATAAATGGATAAAATGGACATAATGAACAAATCAGAACTGATCTATGATAATTCATGCTTCTGATCCTTCGTGTGCTTGACTTATAACCTTAGAATCGCGTGGTAAATTGAGTCCAAAGTTCGACTTGTTGTACATGTGTTATATAGGCAATGGTGAACTTGCGACCTATTTTGATGAAATTACGGTGGGTAAACTTTCAAAAGTCAAGGAGACATGAGGGTTCCTATGAAAGAGCTAGTGAAAACGTACGTCTTGGTGGATGTTTTTTTCGGTTAAAAAAAAGAAGAAGAATTTTTAATGCACTGCTTTTCCACTGATTTATAGTGCCTCACTCTATATTCAATACAATAATTGATAAGATAATCAATATGACAATCACCGTTACAAAATATATGATCGCAATCATTACCTCTTTTTCGTGGTGTGACGTTATGGATGGACATAACCTAACTTGATGACTAAGTAATGGTTGGTAGTTCAATTGGCTATCTGTATTTTTAACATTTTTACATATAAACATGGTCGGAAGAAAATTAATAGGCTCTAGGATAATATCAAATACTTCGGCAAATGTACAATTTATCTCAGTCATACCAAACGGTTGTTCTTCACCGACTGGAGCACTATTGAATACCCACAAAACAGATAAAGTAAATTATGAACGATTTCCATATCTGACTAACGACGGGTCTAACTACTTAAATCACGTGTTAATAGTTAAGACCAGGGGCGGTGGAACGACTTCCAAAGCGGGGGGGGGGGGGGGGGGGCACCCCCAAGGGATTTTTTTTTGGGGAAAAAATGGAACCTACAAATGAGAATCTCAAAGAGAGAATATATAATTTTTAGACATTGGTATATACCCCCTACTTGTGATTACATTATCGTGGATGCTTTCATTTTTTAAATATACATCATACGAAATAATACTTAAGCATCATACTTTGGGTGTGATGGTCTGCATATTCATTTGCGAGCGAGCGAATCAAGTAATGAATTTTTCTTCAGATTTGTCCTACATCTTATAAAGAGATAAAAAAAAACCTATCCTGATGGGGTTATAAGCACATTCTTATAACGGAAGACTGAAAAGACCTTTGATCAGTAACATAATTACATCATCTATAAATGCGAATGAGTGTAGCGAGCAAGCTTTGGGGGAAGTGCTCTTATTCGCTTGAAATTAAGGGCACGTTTAATGATGAAAGGAAAAGGGGACACTTATCGAAGGGATGAGACACCTATTTGAAAAGAATAGGAGCACGTGCCAAAGTACAAAGCGTAATTATCAAAAGTGAAAATGGGACACTTCTTATACCTGAAAAGAGGCACTAACCATGAATGAAAAAGGGCACTTATGAGAATAGCTAATGGGCATTTTTTTTGACGGAAATGGGATACCCATCATATTTTGATAGGGGCATTTATAAAAGGGTATAGTTCCCTTATTGGAAAGGAAATGGGGGCACGTATCATTGTTTAAAGTGAAAGTAATATAAGTAAAAAGGGGAACTTGTCGCACTTTACTGAAAAAGGGGGCGCTGAGCAGATATGAAAAGGGGGTACTTATGAGAATGAAAAGGGGCACCTTAATAAAGGAAAAATATGCATTTGTTGAAAGAAAAGGTGCACCAATCAGATTTGAGGGGGCTTTCAAGAGAAAAGGGAAGTCCCTCTTATTCAAAAGAAAAAGGGGCACATGTTAAAATAAACGGAGCACGTCTCAGAGATGAAAAGGGGTGCTTACGAGAACGAGAAGGGACACTTTTCATAGGTGAAAAGGGGCATTTATGAGAAGGGGAAGGAGTTTTTTTTTTTTAAATGGGGGGTACTTATACTTAAAAAGGGCACTTATAAGAGTAAAGGCAAGGCGCATATGTGAAAATAAAAGGTGCGCTTATCGGAGTTAAAAAGAGGTATTTATTGAAAGGAAAAGGGGCACTCGTGAAAATTAAAGGTGTGTTATCAATGTTAAAAAGGGGGTATTTATGAAAAGGGGAAGGGGCACTTCTTACAAAGGAAAAGGGGCACCTCTCAAATTAGAATAGGGTTATTATCAGATGTGAAGAGGTCACTTAAAGTGAAAAAAGGCATTTACTAGAGATTAAAAATGGCACTTGTGAGAATAGAAAATGGATACTCATTGCAAAATGGGAACTTTTTGAAGGAAAAAGGGGCACTTATCATAGGTGAAAAGTAATAGGGGCACTTTTCCTATGTAAAAAGGGGCACTTTTGAGTACTTGAAAAAGTTTTGGGGGCACTGTTTTCTCTCCAACACCCCCCCCCCCCCCATGTGCATTCACCAGCTCTAACCGCCTTTTTTCTCCAACACAAAAATGCCCTCATATGAGAACAGTTTGTTTCACAAACTTTTCACATGCTTGGCTATTTGGCGAT